CTCACACACACACACACACACACACACACAGGTGTCAAGATTTGGTGAAATCAGGTGCTGATCAGTTACTGGTACTAAATTAAAGCTTGTTCATTAAAACTTGTATCGGTTATGATGAAAAATACACCCTTGAATCGTGGTGATATCTGCGATATAAGAAGATGGAGATTGCCTGACGTTATGGGTAAAATTAGCAAGAAAATGGCCTCCAAAATTTAGTGACTTCTGAAGTTTGAGAGTCCTTGGAAAGTGCAATTTTACATTTTTTATGCCTTTGATCAACATTTTTCAATAAAATGCATGAAAAAATTTGTTTTTTATCAGTTGACATAAAAGGTGTTGAGCCAAATAGAAATTATTTTTAAAAAAGACTGAATAGAAATTGCTCAATGGGTGAAAAAATGTCGGTTTCTTGGATTTTGTTTTCATTATTTTGACGAGCGCCTGATTTTACCATGATGCCACCTACACACGCGTATGCACACACGTAAGCACGCAGGGGCACACGCACTCACACACACACACACACTTAATATGTGTTTATGTGTACCGGTATACACAGTCTAGCACGCTCGTAACAAAAACGCACTTAGTTGTTGTTGTTGTTGTTATCGATCCAGCAACAGCTGGGCTCTCGCCCTTCTGTACAATGCCATGTAGTGATAAGTGCAGGTTTGCTGCAGTTGCTGTAATGTTCCATAGATATAGAGTGTGTTGTCAATGTTAGGTCTCGGAGTGAGAAGGGTAGCTCTGATGTCATTTAGGGCTGTGCAGTGGAACAGGTGATGCTCCACAGTCTCATATTCATATGCATAGTCACACAAGGGACACATTGGGGGAAGTTCCGGGTTTATTCTATTCAGGTGGAAGTTGAGCTGTATATATATGTTCTGTTCGTAGGCGGAAGATCGTGGTCTGTTTCTTTCTCTGAACCTGGTTGATATTGTCATTCCTTTTTGTTGTGGTCATATGTTTGAAAACTGCTCTGCCTGTCTTTCCCAGGGCCCATCTGTTCATCCAATCTTGTTTGTTGTTGCTTTTGATGATTTGTTTTGCAGCGTTGTATGAAGTTGGAATGTTGGGTTGTTCCTGTCTAGATCCCCGTTTGGCAAGTGTGTCTGCTCTGTCATTTCCAGGTATGTCTGAGTGTCCGGGGACCCACTGCATTACTAGGTTGATGCCACAGAAGGTTATCAGATGATGGGATCCAAACAGCATATGGGTCAAATCTTGGTTTAGATGATGGTCATTTTCTATGGCTTTTAATACTGATAGTGAGTCAGTGAAAATCGCAATACTCTGTGCTTTTCCAGGATGAGTGTCAAAAACTGTGCGGAGATGGTACAGTGCTGTTTCAATTGCCATCATTTCTGCATCGTAGTTAGTGAAACGCACACTTAGCGAACAGATTTCCAGGTCCCTAATTATATCTCTATGTATTATATTTGTGAAACTTCGCACTTTCGCAGCCTAAAACTTCCGAACCACTTAGCTTTCGAATTTGACAAAAATTAATGGTGGTTCAGAATCATTTAACGCCCCTGCAGGTGGGGGGCCCCATAGTTTTACTAAGGGGGAGTAAAGAATACACCTGCCTTGATACTGCGTGTCGTAAGAGGCGACTAAAGGTTCATAGGTCTGGCCACCCGAAAAGTGACAGTTTGCGGAGGGCCAACTACCCGACCCAGTAAAAAAAGGAAAGTTATAGAAACACGAACAAACATGCCGTATAATTTTTCCATCTTGGGAGACGGAGGAGCTTCTGCATCAGCAGGAATAATGAAGGACAGCGGACAAAGCCGAAAGGACTCTTCTGACCCGAAACCTTCTCCGTCCAACAAGTCTCTCCGGATTGCGTCGTGGAATGTTCGCACCATAGTATGAAGCTGGAAAGAGTTACAGAAAAGTGGGAAGACGTGGAGTGCATCAAGCGACTAGCCCAGGATAGGGAAAGGTGGAGAGTGTTTGTTCGTGGCCTATATCCTGACCCAGTGTGAGAAAGGCAATGATGATGAATCATTTAAAGGGTGCACAGTTTCATTGAGGAGCCTGTAGTTTAATTTTCAGGTTTTCATTAGTTTCGTTTAGATCTAATCTTGGGAAAGTCCGTCCTCTAAGACGCCATTGTAAACAAAAACGAGGCTTCCGTTCACTAGCCGTGCGCAGATTCCACACCTTTGAAATTATGGAGTGTACAACCACGAAAGCAGAATAGAGAATTAATCTATGCATCTATTATATAACTAGCTGGGCCCCCTTTCGATGAAAGGAATGATCTGTGTATTAATATCAACTGAAAGTCATCGGCCTACTATATTTACACTCTACTACTGGAATGGAGCAATAAATTCTGAGAGATGTAAAAAATTAGAAGGTTTAGATATAGTGATGTATAGATTGATTCTCTATTCCACTTTCGTGGTTGTACACTCCAGAATTTCAAAGGTGTGGAAACAGTGCGCGCGGCTATTGAACGAAACCTCACTTGTTTAAAAATACATGTGAAGCATCATGGTGAAAATGGGCGCGCGTCAAAATAATGAAATTGAAAAAAAAAAGAAATACCCAGCATTTTTATGTCAAATCAAAGACACATTTCTGTATCGATTTTACTTAAAGATGTCGATTTAAGGCTTGCTAATTGTACCTTTGAAACCAGGCAACCCCCACGTCCTTCAATTGCAAATATCTCGACTGCTATTCAAGATAGCTGGATAATCATTCATCCAAAGAACTGATATCAATAACTCCATTTGCCCAAAAATTGACGAGCGCCTGAGTCCGCCACGTCATGACACATGTGTACTCATATTATTATGCTCTTTGTCTCTAAAAGACGTACATAACAAAATTCATACATAACAAAAACATTTCTGTGTCCCGTCGATTTTGCTATGTAGTTGCTAGACTGTATATTATATGTACATGTCTATACTTGAATATGTATATATATGTAACTCTGTACACAAGTTTCATGTAAATATAAATGTGTGTAGTTAAAAACATATTAAAATCAGAGGTGAAGATATTCTGAAAAATCTGGATTTCTGAGATAATTTTCCATACTTTGTAATATACACCTGCTTATGCATAATGTACATTTGTTTTTATTTGAGTATTCTCTTTTTGCAGGTCATATTGCACTTCTTATGAAAACAGTGTAGATATAATATGATGCAGGGACAATATCCATAAATTTTGAGTCCTGGCATATATATCATGGGAGTTCGAAAAGTTCGGGGGGATTTTGTAGCCAGTTGGCATCTCTGATATAATATGTTTACTGGTGTTTCTATAGTTTACTTCATGGCTCGTAGAATTAAATTCAAGAACCTATGTCTGTGTTGTTTATGATCTTTTCACAAGTATGAAAGTGTCATAATATCCGTGGTTGTTGTGTTGTGTGCTATATAATGTGGTCTGCTCCTTCTCTTTCTCTCTGTGATTCTATTTCTTTCTTTTTTTTTTTCGTCCGTAGCCTATCTGTCTCGAATATATTGTGGCCATTATCATGCCTTCTTTCTAATTCCATGGGAACTGCTTCTTTTTCTTTCCTCATCCTTACTATCACTTTTCCTCTATTTATTTTTTATGTTTGTCACCCTCCTGTGAACTGCTTTTTCCGGGGTGCCTTGATAGTCGAAACAGACTATGTGCTGTTGAGACTAGATACGTCAACACAGTAAATAAGCCTGATTCCCCGTTTGTACTTCTCTGTTGACACCCACCCCTTGACGCTCATATGATCTTAATATGCAGTTGTGAGCGCCGTAAAACCTTACTCAAAGAAAACAATTCCGTGGTAATACTTACTAATACTACTAACACGCCTTGCAATAGCCCCTAACTCTAAGCGGTCGGGTACCTTTTCAATGCCTCTTTCGCGGGTGGTTGGAGGGCGCCACTGGCAAGTCCTACTTCTTTACTTTCTTTCTGTTGTTTCTGTCTTACTTTTCCCTCCACTAGTAAATGACCATTATGGCGTCGATGTGCTTCTCTTTAGTGGGTGGTTTGCGGATCCTCTGGTGTGGTTTGCTTCTTCTTTCCGATCAAACATCTATCGTCCTTGTCTCCCCTCCTTCTTTTTTATGTTTGTCACTCTCTTGACACCTCTAATCTTCTGGCGCTCATATGACCTGATGCAGTTGCGAGCGCCGTGAAACCTCTACTAAAACAAAGCCTCTCTTTACCCAAACAAATGCCTCTTTTCTCACTATGATGGGCTTATTCAGAGACGGGACCTCCGATTTCACGTCCATTCTTTATTGTAGAACCATGCCAACTGGACAAAGAGTGGGTTGTTGGCGGGTGCTCTGATGTAGTTTGCTTCTTCCATCCTATCAAACATCTATCGTCCTTTTCTCTCTTTCTTCTTTTTATGTTTATCACTCTCTTGTAGCACCTCTAATCCTCTGGCGCTCATATGACCTTATGCAGTTGCGAGTGCCGTGAAACCTCTACGAAAAAAAAACCCCAACAGCTATCATCTTTATCTCCCCTCCTTCTTTTGTGTTTGTTACTCTCTTGTAACACCTCTAATCTTCGGCACTTATATAACATTATTGTGTTGCAAGTGCCGTAAAACTCTTACTAAATCTTTTTCAAACAACTGGACAAACAGCCGTGAAAACGCCTCAACAAACGGCACTAGTTGGGGATTTATCGGCGTCGTAGTCGGAGGCTGGGGGACGTCACTAGTAGTAG